AAGGGCCCAAATTTAAGTTTGTGGTGCAATCCTTCAGAGGACAAATTATGTTTCAAATGCTTCGAGGGTATCAGTTGGACTACATTTTTAATGACAGTATCTCCCCAAAATTATATAACAGCATATAGTTCTATTTTCTTGCTGAATTCTTCATTCCTGAACAGTATTCAGGGGCTACAGAATTTAGTTGTAAAGGGTGAATGCATAGGTGTGGGAGGCAAGTTAACTTTACAGCCACAATTAAAACTCTAAAGAAAAATGGCACTGCTTACTCTGATAAGAGCTTGGACAAGAGGAGATGTTTTTGAGTGGGTAAATGCATTAGTATAAGAGAATATCCACTTTATCTGAAATAAGAATTTGACATTAGAAACAAATTGCATACATAAATATTGACTCAGTAACTTCATCTTCTTACTCTTTTGTGTCATAGAGTTTTGGGGGGTTCTATTTTATGTTTTCATTATTCCAAAAGTACATAATCATCTAAAAATTACATATTAATTAAGAAGTATGCAATACATGTCTAATATGCATACCACAGTCTGCTAAGCATTCTGGAAAATGTAGGGAAGTTTGAAATTGTACCATAGAGGAATTCACATGATGTTGGAGAAATGTGCACAGAAAAGATAATAAGAAGTCAGTGTGCAATTAAGTGCCAAAACCAAGACAATTATTGCCTGAGGGATTTAGCGGGGGAAAAACTGTGATGCAGTGGGTGAGAGGTCATTTCAGGTTGGTGAACAGTTTGAGTCAAAATTCAGAGGTGACAATGACTAAAGTACACTCAGAGCTATAGCAGGACTGTTTTGATGGCAAGGGGAAAAGCCCCAAACCACACTGGATTACGCAAGAAGCTAATTTATTATTTTACATAACCAGAAAGGTCCATGGGTAGGGTCTGGTTTTCGTGATGGATGGATTCATTCAAAGATTGGTTTCCTTTTGTCCTTCAAATCTGCTTCCAAGTTAGTTTTAATCTTAAATCCACATGGTATCAGGATGTGAGAAGCAGCTCCAAGCTGAGTTCGTTATAAAAGGGAAATCTCAGCAAAAGGTCTCACTGTGTCCTATGACTGGATAGTGTCCCCACCTGAGCCAATCATGGGTGTCAGGGAATGAAGTTCAACTTGGCCTTATTCCTAGGTTACAACCCACTCTTGCCCCACCCCCAGAGATGGGCAAGGGTCACCTTTACTGGAATCATAGAGTATGGAAGTGAAGAGGTGTTCAAAGGGAAATTTAAAAAATGGCTAATAGAGGTAGCAGAGTAAATGGATTCTGTACTAGAAAATCCAGTGTCTGCTCAAAGGGAGACAATAAGCCAACTGATGTCACAGAATAATTGTGAGTAATAACAGGAACTAGACACTGGAAGTTTTCATTGTAAGCACATTGCCAAGGTTAGGAGAAGGAATTGGATTTTATGAGAAATTGTAAATAAATTGAACCTTGTGGAAATTGACCTGTCAGCTGTGTTCAGGAGGTACTTGGGGTTCGGTGCTCCAGAGAGAAATCGGTGACCTCTGTTGGACTGCCCAATATTTCAAAAGCCACAAAGTTTATGGAGTATCTGTTGTGTGAACTGTGGAGAATGCAGAGAGGATGCTCAAGACTTGGTCTTGGCCCTTCAAAGAAGCCTACAGTGTGGTGAAGAAAACAGACTTGATTGTGGAGGCAGGATGCAGAGTAATAGCAGTACGTACCGGACGTTGTAAAAACAGAGAAGGAAGAACTTTGTAAAATGAACCAGTCCACAGAGCTGAGAATAGAGGAGCCCAGGGAGCAGGGGCCTGTGGACAGAGAAACCCTCTCCAACATCTTTGTGAGTAAATCAGTTGGGATCACTCAACGTTAGTCACAGTCTTTTTTGAGACTATTAGAAGGACCTGGATGGGTAGGAAACTGCATCTCTGTCACAAGAACAAGATCTCCCTAAGAGTTTACATATCCCTATATTTAGAATGGTTGGACTGAGTGGATCCTGGCCTACTGTTCCTAAGAAAATGTTCTCTGATCAGCAGCATGGGAACACCCTTGTTTTTGGCCCTTGGTGTCCCTGTGGTCTTCTCAGCCCACTCTGGATGGAATTGGAGAAGGGGGGAGCTACTAAAGTGCAAGGACTTCATTTTATTCTGTTCCACTAGATTCAGAGTAAATGGGAAGGAATTGCTTGAGCCTTCTGCCGAAGTGAGTTCTATTCCCAGTTAGCAATACAACATGGGCCAGTCTCTCCTCATGCCTGGGCCTCAGTTCCCTGACTGTGCAGAGCCAGCATTGGACAAGGAAGCATTATACAGCCTTTTTCGACTCTAAGTCTATAGATTTAATAGAAACAGCCACCTTTACTCCATGACACGTGCTCATGACCCAGGTATCTTTCCAGGAATAAGTGTCATGAGAATACTGGGAAACCATGCGACTGAAAGTTCAGGAGCATTTGAGCATGAAAGTTCATCTACAGAGGTGAACATTTAGAAAGCTGCTAACTAGGAAGTTTGGCAGGAGTGGGCAGAACTGACCATTTAAACAGGAACGGGACAAGAGTTCTCTGGTAGTGGGACAAGTGACAAAGAGAATATGATTGCCCTTCCAAGGATTTAAAGAAATGCAGGTGAAAATGAGAATAATGAGATCATCCAGGCATGGGCTCAATATTAAGGTCACCAGCTTCTGCATAAACTGAAATATGGTATTTGTGGAGAAATGTCCTATTTCAGTGACTGCAGCCAAGAGCATGATTTGGATAACTGAGTGGATTTTTCCTAAATATCATAAAATTAATGGGTATAGACCAAAAAGAGCATCTATGAAGTCTATACAAATTCAACAAGAAGAATGAAACATAGGTGTCAATTTTAACAAGTCAGTTATTGAATCATTGAATGGAAAGATATATTAAATATCAAGACAGTGCCAATGAAGTGAGAGAGGGAGGGAAAGTACTCTAGATTGTAATTTTGCATTCCTTTCTTGTGACCTGCAGTTACCTAATTTAAAAATACTCGATTACATAAAAAATGAATAATTTACATTTATGGAAGCCTTGAATGTTATAAAGCAGTTATACATCCATTTTACCTACAGCAACTCTTCAAGGAAGGGAAACATTTTTTTCCAGGTCCTTATTTAACAGATGAGAGAACTGAGTGAATGGTTCTCACAGCCAGTGACAGGCAGGACATGCCATTCCTGGCCACAAGCCCTGTGTGCTTTCCTTTTCCACATCTGACTGCCTGTGTTCACTAGTCAGAATTCAGCCCAACACCAGTGACTTTTTTTTTCTTCCTCAAGAAGGTAGAAATAGAACTATTTTTATGACCAGGAGAAGAGTTTATATTACCCTTGGATTAACAACAGAATGCTTTTTATGTAAGTCAGACTAAATAGACATCTGTTTTTTACAAACATTCAACTCCACACAAACAGAACATGTTCAGTTTGCTTTGAAAGCAGAATACCATGTGTTGTAACTTTACAATGTTTTAAATAAAGTTAGGAATTTAGGTTTAAGATGCTGAAAATATCATAAAATCGATGAGTATAAGACAAAGAACTACATAGATGAGGGTCCTTAAAAATTCAACAAGTAGAAAAATCAAAGGTAGACATTTCAACAAACTAGTTATTGAATCACAGTATTAGCTATCTAGTGAAATGAGAAGTGAGTTATTAAAGTTTATTGTCCTCATTGGTTTGTAACACTGTTAGTCAGTGTGTGGATAGTTTTTAAAGTAGAACGGTTCAGGCTAATGAAGCCATTTACTATACTGGTTCTACACTCTGTCTCTATTTCTCTCTTTATTACTTCATTTTGGGACTTTGATTGCTCCGTTTTAGATCTAAGATTGTTCTAAATGCTATACCACAACTGTATGAGGGGCTTAGTTTTCACTTTGTTCTCAGAACCAGGCTGGCTATAAATTTATCTCAGTTCTTTGAAGAAGCTAACAGTAAATTTTCAAGAGGAAAAAATGGAGGCATATATCCCTATAGAGGAAAAGTAATCTCTTAAAAGCAGAATAACCTCCAGGCTACATCCTTTTAAAGAGGGACTTTCAAACAAGCACGCCTTCGACTTTTATATGTGTTCTATATTTTTCTTCAGGCTTTGTACCTGCTCTTCTGCTTTCTGTGTAAGGTTTCGCTATAATGACCCCATTCCTCCCCGCACCCATTAAATCTGTGATGAAGTCATGCTGTTCTTCATTCTGATGTCGTAATAACTTCCAGAGCTATAGTCAGATAACATCCTGGGGATCATCTGAGGTTTCCTCTGGAAAATGAGGCACAGAGCTAGGAGTTGAAACACCTACAAAAGGGAATCACAGTTTTCACAAACGGCCACATGCTAGGATGAAAATGAACGTTGCCAAGTGAACTTTGCTTCCATTTGGTTTAATTTGCATTTAAAGCCATGCTCAATTTCAGATATTCAGACACTCCTCCTCATCAATAGAGGATAAAATAATAGATAATGATATGAATCATTTAGAAGTGAAGGGGGTGCTAAAAGAACAGAGTGAGCTTGTGGCTCTGTTTTCATGTCAAGCAACGTCATCACCTTCCATCCTTATTATTCAGCTGTCCTCAGCTGCATGTTGATCAGGGCTGCCCAGGGAGCATCCCTACAGGCCACACACAAAAAGACTGAGACTACCATTTGCCACAGGGATGTCCCTGGCCAGCCTGGGAGCCACCAAGGGTAAGAGATGTGGAGGTGGCAGGAGCCTGGGTAGGTCCAGGGAGAGTTCCAACCTGTGACATCATCCATCCTGCCTGTGTCTGCAGAGGTCATGACCAGGTCCTCTAAGGAGCACCTTTTGTGGGAGCAAAGAGTTCCCCCCCAACCGTGGCGACTGTTGACAAACATGAGCCATAAGGGACAGGTTAACTTGGCCAGCATATCTTTCCAACTTCAGAAAGTTCTAGAAAGAGTTCCTCCTGCCATTGCCTTCGGCCTAATTGTCCTCTTTCTCATTTTATGCCCCTGCTAGACCACCGCTCTTGATAAGGAGAGGCAGGTTTTCCGACGAAGACGCAACCAGGATGTGAGGAGCCGGTACAAGGCGCAGCCAGCTCCGCCAGAACTCAACTCGGAATCGGAAGACTACTCCCCGAGCTCCTCCGAGACTGTTCGCTCCCCCAACTCACCCTTTTAATAAGCCCCTTTTACTCAAAGTCCTAGCTTAACCCTTTGAGACTCTGAGATTTTTTTTTCCCCAAAATTTATGTGAAACAGTTTCATCTGATCTATCTAGCGCTCAGTGCTTGAATGGCAGAAGAGAAAGTGTGTTTTCGGGTCTCTTTGTAGCGATTTCCCTTTACTGAATGAGATGGCACGTGTCGGTTTGTGAAGATGGTAATTTGCTGCTAATAGGGTCCTCAAAGGGTTAAAGCTAATTTGCCAATTTTTTTAAACATAGAAGCAATGAATGTTTTCATCAGTCAAGTTAGGATCTGCAGTCTGTAATATAGCACATGTTAACCCTCTGAGTGCATAGAATTTTATTGAGAATCCTTGCTGGGGAATTTTTCAGGCCTTTGGATGTACACGCACATGTTTCTTGATTCTGCTGCAGATCAAGGGGTGTTCTTAAAATGCAGAAACGGCCGGACAAGAAGGGGATCTAGAGTGATCTCTTGCTTGTCCTTTTCTGTGGGTTTAGAACATGGCAGGTTTATAACTTCAGCATATGCACCCCTCTTTCCTCTTCATGATCCTATTAGGAAAGGGAATTTTTTTTTTTTCTTCTTTAGAAGTATAACCATCTGCTGCAGTGAGGCCTGCATGGTGGGGAGTGGAGGGAATTGGGTTTGTGGCAAACAGCCTGACCCGGGAAATTGTCGGTGCCCTCTCCCCGCAAACTGTCTCCATACAAAGATGTACTGGTGACACCTCAGAAATGCTGCTTCTACATCAGCTGCTGCTAGTGCCAGCACAGACCCTCCAGGGATCACCATGGCTTATCTTGTGCATGGTGAGGGAGGGTCTGTCTGCTCGGTATCAAACATCTACAGGGAAGAAACAACTGGTGGAAAAGAGCAATAAATTGCCAGGTGCTCAATAAGGCTGGGATTTCAAATGGAAAGAGGAAAGAAGGTCCTGTACATTTTCTCATCTGCTTTTTTTCATGGTTCTGTGGTCATCAGTGTGAAATCCACACATAGTATGAAATCCATTCATGGAAGAGCTGGGGCACAGTGGAGCTAGAGGCAAGGGATTTGCAAGGTGGCTGAGGAGAAAGCATGGTAGGAACACAATCCAGAATGTTCTAAACCAATTCCATGTGTACCTTTATATAGTCTCTCTGGAAGAGCAGGATATAACACCTAGAAGATGGCCCTAAGGATAAAAATTCCATTCCCCAAGGTGATTTTTCTTTTTAATATTCCGCTATCATTAACCATGTGCGGAAACATTTGTTTTCCTATCTTTGGACTAAGTCCTGTCTGAGACCTGAATTTCCACTCCTATTACCAAATCTCTCACTGGTAGGAGAAACTGCAGGCCTGGGTTTCTTCTGGAACATATCCCATTTCAGAACAGGGGATTACCATTTCCTGTTCATTACAGCAGAACTCAAAGAGGAGGAGAGGCAGAGTCTCAAATCAAATGTCCTCCTAAGATTTGCTCAGCTCTGTGATACAGGAATAATCAGTGAGTGATATCTCATGAAATTTGCATCTGGATGGCTGAGCAGTATTTTATTTCCTCAGTTTTGAATATACTTTAATATCACAGAGTCTTAAAATTTCTGAATTACATTTCTATATTGAGTTCTTTGTTTTCAAATTCACACTGAACTTCAATTGCTGCTTTTTACCCTTCAGTCCTTAAATTGTGGTCTATGCTCTGATAGATTATCAAATCACATCTCATTGCCTTTGCAACACAAGACTCCTAGGTTTTTCGCTCTTCCACTTTTAGTAAGGGTTTATTTTTCCCTCTCTCTCTCCTTTTAGACAATCCATAAATTATAACACCTAAAATCATAAAGTAGCATAAACCAGCAAATCAATTGAATTGTTTTTTTTGGGGGGGGGCAAGGGGCACAAAATACCAGGAATAGTATGTCAGTGTATAGGTTGATTCCATTTTAGTAAAGAATACTGAACTGGTCTGAAATTACTGCTTTCTCTGAAATTATTAAGTGAAGTGCCGTTTCAAGGTGAAAGAGTAGGTTTTTAGCTTGGCCTCAACTCTAAATATGTGAATGTTTAAAAAATCCTATGGCAGAGACCTACTTGCAGTAGATTGTTGTTTTCCCTTTTTTTTTTTTTTTCCCTCTGAATTCCCCCCAACACACATGGGCGTAAAATGTGTTGCTACAGTATTCAGTGTACAGAACCTACAATGCATGTCTCAGGCCTTTTTCCATTATCATCTAAGGGGAATTCTGGAGTGTTTCTCAGCATGCTGCAGAGAGGCAGCTCAGAAGAATGCAGGGACCATGCAGCATGAGGATCCCGATGCCTCCCTGTAGAATTGGAGTGATCTATGCTGAATAAACAGTGGAATGTGACCTGTCAAGTAGAAATATTGAGTAATCAGATGGAATGGAATCTTTCTAGCATTAAGCTACCAAGATCTCGAATGTCAGAGATGTACTCAGAGGGTTAATAGACAAGCACAAGGCATGCCGATGACGTTGGTGTATCCAGATTGCTTTGCTTTTAACCAGTGCTTTCTAATTTTTTTCTCGACATTCTTGGGATAGTTCAAGTTTGAAATAATTAAGTGGTGGTGTTCTTTAAGGAATTTCTATAACCAAATTGATCTTATTTTTTATTTCATTTATCATAGAACAAATATGTACCATTATGGCAGTGTATCTCCGTAATTACCAATTTATTCATCGCCACAAGTGTTTCCATATTTTTTTTTTCAGGTATTGAATATAGCTCTTATGGTGGTGGCCTGGTGATGGGAACTGTCTTTCCTTTACTGACATATGACCAACCATATGATTTCAAGGGAATTCTAAGATTCATCTTTTCAGTTCAATAGTAGACTAACTGAGGAAGAACTCCTTCATTATTTGCATCGTGTAAATCATCTCTGTAGATGAGAACTGTTCATGTTAATGAACACTTTTTTTTCTCAATATTGTAGCAGAAATCATTTTATTCATCATGGTCAATGAATATGTGATTTGCTCCAGATCGTTAGAAGGAAAAGTAAGATTACAGTCATTGGAAATGTTTTTACCGTAGCCCTCATCTAACTTACACGTGGTGCATATTAAAATAAGCAGAAGGAAAAAATGTGAATAAACTACTGAAAACACTCTGTGTTTTGTATTCAATGAAACCTTCCTGCAACCTGCTCAGCACCCCCACCGGTGGTAGTTAACAGGCCCCTCAGATATTGTTGAAAGAAAGCAATATATCCATGAATGAAGGCTAAAATTGCAATCCTTTACCCTTTGAGGCATATTTCAGTTGAGGAAAAAAAAAAGGAAAGAAAAATTGACTTTGAGGGTCACGGCGCTACTGTATACCAAGGCTCAAGCATATTAAATCACGGTTGTTTGCTGGCCAACGGCATCGGTTAGACAACTCTATCCCCTGTGTCGAAGCTGGATTGTGCTGAAGGAGAGCTTTCTTAATATTATTGTGTTGCCCCTAGCCCTTCTCTGGGTAAGGATCTGTCAGCATTTCCATGATAAACTCCTATTCTCAAAGGTTTTTAATTTGACCATAAAAATGTGCCCCAGGCCAAAGTTTGCTATACAGGGTCTGTACCAGAGAGTGAAGGTTCATTTCCCTCTCTTCCCAACTTCTTTCCAACTCTCCTGAGAAAAAAAAGAAGAATCCAGTATGTGTTCTTAATTGTGATTTAAGAATTTTGTAAAATACCCAGATCCTGGATGATAGTTTTAACATCATTATTCATTTGGATGTATTTTCTTTGTTGTGGATATGTTTAATGGATCACCTAGCATCCAATGTAGATAACGTATCTTTTCTATAATTAGTAAGTTATTCATTTTGTAAACTGCTACATTCTTTTCTTTTCTTTCTTTTTTTTTGTCCAAAGATTTTTTTTTAAAAACTTGGTCAGTTCAAAGATCAGCCTTTACCACACGTGTGATCTGCCATTTCCCTTAGGAGTTTGGGGAAATACACTCAAATAGACCCTTACTTTGCATGCAGTTTTGAGGGTCAGATATATGCTTCTTCGGATATATGGATTTCCTTATTTAATCATCAAATTTCATGAAGCTGTTCTAGTCCAATGGGGAAAAATAGTGACTAAAAGCACTTCCAAAAGTAACATTTTTGGTCAATTCAGATGCGGATAGCATAAAATAACACATTTCACACTTTCTTTATTTAAAAGCAAATAAATCAATGAAACTTGAGGACGCACTAAACATTTGATTACTGCAAAAGTGCTTTAAAAATTGGCTCAATGGTGCTTATGCATGGAACAGTTACAAACGGGTCCTTGAGACTGTCAGATGGAATCTCTAGTTTGTATGTAATTACACACTGAAGGAGGAGGTGCTTTTAAGCCAGTCTTTTATTTTTTAATCATCTCAAATATGCAACCATCCATTCAGTAACATTAAGGGTCATAAACTGGTGGGAAACAGGAAATGCAGTGTAGAAGCTTAGAATGCCTCTGGCTGGAGTGTCTTTGTTTGTTTTTCTGTTGCTGTTGGCTTCTACTCTCAGGCTGGTGTGGTGATTTTTTTTCAGTGAGTGAGCATCTAACTGGCAGGTGTTTTGATCATGAGGTTTGCAATATCTTGCCCATAGAGACAAATGAGAGATCTAGTTTCATTCTTTTTCCCTAAAGGAAAAGCAATCTCCAATGTTAAACTATATCTGTAAATTTCCTTAATATTCTTTTTTAGTCAACTGAGACCCTTAATGTTGCTTTAATGTAAAATTGTATATTTTTGTCTGTGATATACTTTATTAATTTAAAGTAATAGTTCTAAAGCCTTCACTGTTGGTATTAAAAGAAAGTAGAATTATAAAAGTGATGTTAAAGACTCTAATAATGTCATTTCATTCCAATTCAATCAAATGTGGTAAGAAAAAGACCTTGAATAGTTCCCTAGGGACAATTTCTTACTTGCCATTGACATTAATCTTTGATGTATTCTCAGAATAAATAAAAAGAAATTGAAACTGGTCCAAGGTTAGAGTCATATCCTCAATAACTTTTTTAAAAAAATTTTATTAGGAAATTAATAATAGCCTTTTTCATTCTGGCTGAAAGAAAATTATTAAAAGATTAGTTGAGTGTGAAATTAAATAGTATTTTGCTCATGCATACTAAAAAGATGGACTGGAAACTTGCACTTAAACAAGTTTCCAAAAGGTTTCAATTTGATAGAAGAAGAAAAAAAATCAATGTTTCCTTTGAAAATACTGAATTTATCACTTGCTGCATGGATCAGATGGCATAGGTTAATCTTTGATTTTCAGAATCCTAATGAAATAACTTTCAAATGATTTGTGTCTATGATTAAAGGTGGAATGAGATCCGATTTTTTCCTAATCCTTCAGTTTAAGCTAATAAATGTAGGTTAATGTGGAATGAAGTCATCTGTGATATGTTTATTTATTAGCTGAGCTTTTTTGATGTTGCCTGTTTTTATGTAAAACATGTTCTTAAAGTTAATAAAATAATAATTCTTGGTGTATGAACTACTACATAATACCCTAGCTGCTGGGTCTAACTCCTCAGTTCACGTTGCTATCATGGAGTGAAATTTCATTTTAGTTCAATTCAGAATTGACACATTCGGTCCACGAAGGAATAGCCCAGCTGTGTTCTTGGGGGAAACTCTCTCTAGGCGAGGCTTTAAAAATTAGTCATGCGGTCAGAGTGTAGCTTTCCCACATGTCCTCCTCAGCACAGTGTGTATTTCATGAGCATAATTCAAAAACAGCTATTCCAAAAATGTCCCTTTTCATATATTACCTTCCTGCCTGGGCCAGTGACTTGGATAAACACAAAGAAATCAAATACCATTCAGCCCTATTTTATCCTTCAACCTATATGCACAAGCTCTCCAGAGAAGAGTGTTGTTTTAGCCACTAACCTGTAATTAGCTGCCATTTTTATAGCAATTTCCCATTAGGCATTCCACATGTAATATTGACCTTAGAGAAAATTGCAAAACTGCACAGTGGAGTGAAGTTCTTTCCTGTTGAGTTTCTCAATGCTAGGAGATTGAAAAGTCAGCCAGGAAGAGTGACTGCGGGTCCCCTGGTGTCTTTTAGAAGGTGCCAGAATATCTCCACGCACTTGTAAAATTAGCAGTCACCTTCCGTGCCATCCACAGGCTGCTGCAGCTGCTCTTTCCCCTGTTATTCTTCTGTAGTGAAGTCACTAGGCCCTTTCTAGACTCTTCAGGCAATTGCTGTGAAACAATAGCTAAAGTGATTGCTTCCTAAGAACTGTTACCTTGTTTTATAAAGATGGCAGCCTCGCCAAAAATCTGCCATCAGGGAAAAAAAAAATGACTTTGACATGAAAAACCTCAAACACAACTCTGGGATTGAAGATGACAAAACTGTCACATATGGGAATTGGGAAGGAAAGGTCTTTCACGATTGCCGGACATTTGGACCGGGAGTTGGAAAGGCAGCACTTACTATGTATAGAAAAAGTAGTCATGGATATAGAGGTAAATGGATTGCAAGAAACAGGTACAGGTGCACCCTGGAAACTTTCTTAGAGCATCTCCTAAATGAAAGAAAGATTTTGCTCTATCTCAGAAGGTAGCCCACTACCTTCTCCCCAGCTCCAAGAGAAGTGCTAAAAAAAGACAAGGAGCCACACCCAGCCAGTTGGACCAGCCAAATCCACGCTGGCCATCAGCACTGTGACAGATGTCCCAGCCAGCTTGCCTGCACTTCCAAATCATTCATTCAAATGTTTCTTGAGTGAGTGCCAATGCCATGGAAAGCACTGCATTTGGGCTCAGAAAAGAAAAGGAAAACACTGTTGTCCATTTTTATTTTTACTATGGATCCAAAGAATTTAAAGATAAGAAAATGTATCTTGAACTGCAAGGTGTGTCATTTACCATGACTCTTAGTTCAGGGTTCAGATGACATATACACCCACACCTAGCAAGACCCTGTGCATTTATGGCAACTTTGAATCTCTAACACGAGGATGTGTTTACCATCTGCCTGTTCGATGGTACACACACCCCGTGGTACTCTTGGCTTCACTCCTAGTTCTGAAGTAGAAGGCCTCCCAGAGTCCTCTCTGCCATCTGTAATTAGCATGAGATTTTAACCTCTTATCATTCAGTAATACTGGACTATGTCCATGAATCCAGCAAGCATTCACAGGGCCCTATTAGGAGTGGTGCACAGTGCAGGCAAAGACAAACAAGACACAACTCCTGTTCTTAAGGCTCTTATCCTAGTGAGAAATCTTCTACCCCTGATGTCCATGGGGTGGGATGACTGATTTATCACTCACAGATGGCCGAACACCAGTTTGTCAGGAGCACCGCATCCCTACCAGCCAGAGACTGGCTCTCAGCATGTGTAGACTGTGCAGGCTGCCTGCAAGCCAGCCATCAGTCACATGCAAATATATTTGTGGCCTGCTGTATGCTCTATTACAATTCCAGTGGCACCCTTAGAAAAATCCTAGAAAAGGGGAAAGGAGAGAGAGCGAAGGAGAAAAGAAATAAAAGCTGATGAGAGCAAAGTTGCCACAGTCTTAAGACCCAGTGTATCATTTGGAGAGTTTAAAAAGAAGAGAAATATCATATCAGTCTCTCAGTGTGCGTTCCTCAAAACCCATTCCTGGAGATGCTCTGTAGGACTCACAGCGTACCCTCATATGGATATTCCATGACTCTAGCTCTTCCACATTCTATACCCAGGGGTACATCCTCATGTGATATAGTGACAATAAGATGCCATCAATGGCTCCCCTTTTGGAAGCAGGGGTGGGACATGTCTTAAGAAACTTCTAATTCCCACACTTTCTTATCTATTTATTCCTCCTGGACCTTTAAGTTCACACACACACACACACACACACACACACACACACGTACACACACGTGTGCGCTCCTGCAGGGAAGCACATAGCCTGAACATGTGCAACTGAAGGGAATCTCAGCCTGGGAACTCCCCTCTCCCTCTCCATTATCTGCCATCTGGAGCAGGTCATCTATTCCCACCCCCAGCAAGTTCCTATCCTGTGCCAGTTCCTCTGCTGGACCCCCTGAGGCCACACAATAAAACTTCTCACCACTGTCTATCCCATGTTCACAGGCCTGGGTGGGAAATAAATATACAGAGATTAGCCATCTAGCTAATCAGTCAGACACTTGGGGACCACTTTGGTTTACCTAACCATGGCGGGGGGGCATTCAGAGGAGGCTTCCTGGAGGAGGAGCCTGTATCAGTCAATATTGCAGGGTAAGAGAAAGGAGGTTTATTTTGGCTCACAGTTCTGGAGGTTCAAGGTCAAGAAGCTGCATGTATAGATTGTGCAGACTGCCTGCAAGCCAGCCGTCAGTCACATGCAAATACATTTGTGGCCTGCTACAAATACAGGTAATGGCCTTCTTGCTAACCGAGTCCCGAGGGGGCACAGGACAAGGGGGTTCCACCCTGATGACTTTACCAAACCATAATTGCCTCTAAACACCATAGTTGGATTAAGTATCTGCCCCCCTCAAACCTTATGATGGGCGTTCACCTTCAACACATGGAGGTTTGGGGGACATACTGAAACTGTAGCAAGGCTCCTGAGTGAGGTTCTGAAGGAGAAGCAGGGATCAGTCAAAAAAAAAAAAAAGAGGAGGAAAGCATTCCAGACTACGAGGGCGAAGGCGGTGTGTGAAAACACATACTCAGAGACCCTGGAGGAGCCCAGTTAGATGGAGTTTAAGGCCAATCCCAAGGAGAGCAGGTTACAGCCTAGCCCTCACAAATCCCAGCCCTCATGCCGGAAAATGGGTGCAGGGACTGGCTCATCTCCTAGTTGTAGGAATGTGCTCAGAATGTGTTAGGTAACCATGGAAATGAAACAGCCCAGATATCAGGTCCCCAGGCTGGCAAAGGAGGAAGTGAAGCAGGGTGGATGGCCCCTGAGGGAGCTTCAGAGGCTTTTGCTACAATGAGGTGGATCCCAGTTGCTCCTGCATAGCTATAGCAGAGGGCAAACAAAGGAGCTGGTCCTATGTTAATCCTTTCCCTTAGCAGGGGAATCTCTTGTGCACAGAGCTCATCAGCTCGAGGGGGGAAAAAAACACAGTATTCTCTACTAGGCTGTTTCTCTTTGTTCTGGGGTTGGGGAGGGGGGGACAAGAAGAAATCCACTGACCCTGAAAATAGCTCTCTCCTGCCTTCTTCCTGGACAAATCCACATTGTTACCTTTCCCTTAGAGCAGGGTGATAATTAATGTTCTGCCCCAGAGAGGTTTCGTTATTCCATCAGAATTACCTATTAATTTGCTGGACACTTCTGATTAAGCAGTGAACTTGTCAGTGCTGGCTCATTGTTCAGAATCTGAAATATCCTTTCATTTTCAACAGGTAAATCAAGGCCCAAACCAACTCAGACATTTTCAATTTTCTCTCTTGACATGGTCCCTTCTGTTCTCACAGTTGTGATGTTCCATTTTAAAATAACATTTCTATGTCCACGGCTATCTTGCTGAGCAAACCATTTTTTGTTTCATAAAAAGCTTCTATTGTTTCTCCCTACTCTATAGAAGAAGGATAACAGTTCACATTGGTTTCTTAAATTGGAAAACATCCCTGCCTGGATAGGAAGGAGGCCTTATTCTAACGCAGGCTTCTGTTGATTTGCCCAAAGTATTCAGCCTGCCTAGTTGTTTTGTGACTTCTCCTGAAGTTGCCCACACCTCAGCACGCTTTTCTGCAAAGATATTGCTGACGGCGGTGTGTGACTTCATCCTCCTGCCTCTCTGGGCCTTCTGACAACAGAGCCTTCCTCTCTCAATATGTTTGCACTAGAAAAGTCTGATGAAAATTTACCTAGGCCTGGGAAGCAAGGATCATCTTCTTAACCAAAGTGTCCAGAATGCCCATAGACGAATTCAGAAATGTAGGGAGAGCCAAGTCCTGTGGACCTTGGGAATCATGCTTCCGAGACGGTGTCTATTCCTAATGTGCCTTGGGTATCTTCAGTGTCAGCTGCCCAGAGTTTCTGTGACCCTTTCCTCAAACCAGAGTCCAGCAGCCATCGGTGCCCTTTGGGCCTAAGTGATCACTCCTATTAATCACACTCCAAGGATCATCCAACCCAGCTCTGTCCCCAATCTGTCAGCAAGACTTGCTCTAATGGATAGGAAATTTCCAGGTAGGAGAGAGACCAGAGTCCTACAGGGCCCACTCATGCCTCCTCCTATCAGCATATATGCTCAATTGCACTCATCTGTGCAATAGCAACTACATAAACCTCTGTCTTGGTCAAATTCAGATCCATGCCAGGGATGGAGGAGAGGAGAAAACGCACTAGAAAAAATTTATCAGAGGCGAAAACTATCTGCAGCATTTAATTATTTTATGGATGATCTGGTAAGTGTGTCTTAGTGTGACTAAGGGAGGCAGGAAAGGGAAAGGAGGGGTCTTAGGGTGCTGGAGAGGGTTGCTCTCCCCTCCAGAAACACGTGCGCTCCTTGAAAACCACGTGGCTT